ATGGGCTCATTTCAACTTCATCTCATACTCACTGATCTTATGTTTTGTTGTGATGTTATGCAAGCACAAGGAGGTCAATGTATGATGTGACTCTGAGAGCTGCAGTTATTTTGTTTTCATATACTGGCATGCACAACAATGAAAATGTTTTCTGGCTTTCTCCTCATCACTGGCGCAAGAGGATCAAAGTTGTCCCAGAACATTCCTGACATCCACGACAAAGCTCAGGCATGCGAAAGGTCCGCAAAAATATCGATCAGGAGAACAACAAGGGTCAGCGTTGCTGACTGCTACTGCGCATCCCCACTCTCTGCACGAATATGAACACAGCTTTTGATGACCTCACTGTTAAAACGCAACAAAGACCCAACGACGACCATCCAATTATCGCCCTGAAATCAGACCTGTTTAAAAGTTACGGAAAGCGATGCTCCTCGTTCGACCTGACCTGCATTTCCTACACACGACAAACATCCTGTCCCAGTAAGCTTTTGAGGCAGAAACCATCACCGCTGTCATCTGTGGCGCAGGTGCCATGGCGACCGCTTCCTGTGGAAAGAGCTGCAGAGACACAAACGATATCACGCACACAAAAACTCACAATGAAATAGCACAAGTCATTTTTAACTCGTGATCACAAAAAAAATACAAATAGGCTCGCAAAATCATGTGGGATTTTTTTAATGTGTGGGTAGACTCATTTATCCACATCGTGGCAAAAGTTGAATCGAGGCAACTGATTCTTCTATATTGTTGATTTTTTTTTTCAAATGGCTTTCTGCTCGCTGAACAATATATTTTCATGCTGATTTGATGTCTGCTTTGTATTGTATTCATAACTTATTAGTTTCTCTGTATGTAGAATTTCGATTGGCCTCTTTGGAATCATCAATAAAATAAGGAAGCAACAGCCCTTAATAAAAAAATTTTTTATTGAATTTTTGTTGATATAATGATGCATTTTATAGCTAACTGACATGTAAAAAGCGACACGTTCGAACATGAGCGCAGGAGGAAGAGGAAGGCGGTGGCGCCGCGCTGGCTACTCCGGTGCACCAAACCACAGGCCCAGTGTCATGACACAGTTGATGGCGAGCGTCTTGGCGAAGATGAGGCGTAGGGCGAGGACGGCGAGGGACAGGAGGTTCACCTTCTCGTCTACCGGCGACATGCACATTTAACTCAGCCCAACAAACTGTGCCTCTCGCACGTTCGATACTAACCTGGCACCAACGTGTCCTGGTACTGCCCTGGTCCACTGTCACCTGTGGCGGCACAACAAGAAGCAGACCTGAGGCAGTGACTTCATTAAGATGACTGGGGGCCTCGCCTGACCCTCCTTACCTTCCTCGCACATGTCGTCATGTGCGACTGTTAGCAGTGCCACCTGGTTGTATAACGAGTCGTCCGATATTCGCACGGGGAAAGACTCCTCGAACATGTGACCTTTTTCCGCCTTCTCCGTGGCATTGCGTCTGCTGAAGCCGGTGGCGAGACACGCTGTCAGGTTGCTAGTCTCAAGTTTGTAGAAGGATGGCTCAAAGTCCTCCTCTAAAACACCAACCAGATTCTCACATTACAGGGGAAATTGGATCAAAAGTTTTCATGATCATAATCTGGGATCTGTATGACTAGTCCAAGTGGTTCCCCTCACTCCCTTTAAAATCAAGGCAGTCGAAGGACTTTGTTGGAGCAGAAATTGACTCCCGAGGGTCCATACATGAGATTGGTGTCCACAAAATGCATTTATACAGCTAAGGTGCAAGCTCTCCCCTCGCGGATGGTATATTCAGCCGTGCTTTGACGTGGTCAATTGGAGAGCACCTTGCAACCATGTTCGAGCATGCATTGGGACCAAAATGAAAAACGGCTATTTTTTTGTAGTTTCTATTTTTAGTTTAGCACGAAATGAATCTGGAAATAAAACAACCATTTCGTTTTTTTTTGGGTTTTTTTTCCAAGTGATGCAGTTTGGGTTATGGTGTTTACTTGTAGCTTTGAAAAAAACTTGCTGGTTCCTGACATGTCAAATATGCAACAATAGCTTTCATATTTAGTTCGTGACAGAGTTTGTGAAAGTTTCACACAAAACATGTAAACATGTAACGATCAAACTTCATTGAATTGAGCCGTGAAATGGTTAAATGGACTTTGCCATGTTTACACTCACCACAGTCAACACTCAGTCTGGTTCCACATCCAAACATCAAGTTCACGTACAGACAATGTGAGGCTCAAAAATACACAAAAAACAAAACCAAAAAAAAAAACAAAAAAAAACAAGCACAAGCCGAGCTAAATTTCTGTTTCTCTTCCAAAAAAAAATCCCATTTACAGGTTTCCATCATCAATCTGGTTCCATTTCCAAAAAGGAACCTGCCAGATCCTGTCGCACATTAGTTGCTCTCTTAACATGAACCTCACGAGATCTGTTTTGAACCTCACACATAATTTATATGATCACATTATTTGCATGATCTTCATCCAGTGCGTCAGTGGATGGCGACGGGCACTCGGTGTGGCTCAAATTCCCCTGCAAACCTCAACAGGCTTTGCAGTATTAAAAAAATGCACACAGAGAATGTATTTCATCTTTATGACGTAGTGACACAATTTGGGTTGTGATACATAAAAAACAAACTTACGAGTCTCCACAGTCAGTCTGGTGCCGCTTCCAAAAAGTAATCTCCCAACTCCTGACACACATCAGTTGGTCCCTCAACAAAAACCTCAAGAGAGACTTTGACAAGAACGCAATTGGAATCCTGATGGGGGGTCACAGCTCAGGTGGTATTGTGGTCATTTTCCAGCCTGGAGGTCATGGGTCCATTCCTCAAACCAAGTGACCATGCCCAGGGGTCCTTGAGCAAAATACGAAAGCCCCAACTTGGTCCTGATGCTGATGAGGATTGTTCAAGTGCTTTGAGTGCCTTTAAAAGCATGATTTGAGCAAAATCCCATTTGTCATTTACCTTCATGTTTCCATGCACAAATAAAATGTATTGTCAGCAGACCAATTATCTGCTCGATCCAGCTGCATGGATGGGAACATTGACCAGTTGCGACACAAAAACTTGTTTCACATCAGCAGTTGGCCTCTTTACAGCGGCATCCCTCAGGGTAACGTTCCGCGTCCACTCGACTTTCATGTCATCCATGTCAACTGGACATCCTTCTCCAGGTGATTGGGATGTCTTGGAGGGTGTTATTTGCATCAAAAAAGCTGGGTAAAATTTTCATCGTGTTGCCATAGCACTTGAGGCAATAAAAGAAGATTCTCGGCAGAAGCAAGCAGCTGAACCTTTCCCCGAAAACCAGAGTGAAGAAACAAAAACAAGTGTTCACGGACCATGATGTCAATACAAGAGGTGGAAAATACAGGCTACCGTACATATTAAGATCATCCCGATTTCCACTGTCATGCTTGTCCCGCCCCCAAAGACAATCTTCTTGCAACAACATCCATTGCGACACAAAGCTGCAACCACATTGGCCACGCCCACTACCTCTGGCCTCATTACGCTGACATCATATTGCCTCTGTTCAAAGTTCCGATCAAAAGCCACTCGCATCTATTTTGATGTTACCAGGTGGTCCCAAGTAATGGTACAAATTACAGTAAAATGATACAGCATCCGACATTAACGGTGGCCCAATGCTCTTATGGCCTTGGACCAGCATGGCACTGTTGCCAGGCCACCACGGACTCGGTAGTCCAGTACATATTTCATAAATATGAAACTGAAAATCTTGCTTTTAAATAAAATACTGTGTTGTATGATTTGAAAATTGAGTTTTAAGATGTCAGACGAGATCATCAAACTGTCTCGAAAACAAATGATCTTTTGGGCTTCTATCAGTCAAGGTTGTCTTGTTTGAGCTTCCTGTAGGTGGCCACAAAACACAACAAAAACATATTATGCAGGTGCGTGCTAAATTATTTTCCACAACAATTGGATTGACTTGAAAAAGAAAAAAGATCAGATTTTTTTTTCATCCGGATCTGTACTTTAATCATCACACCAAGCTAGCATGTGGCCAGGCAAGCAAATAGTACGACTCTTTGCTTGCCTGGCCACAAGGAGCAAAAACAACAAAAAGCGCTTTCAAAGGCAAATTACAAGAGAACGCAGAGAATACACAAATGAAATATCACAAGTCCAATAACATTCAACCAAATATCAAGATCGATACAAAATAATCTTGAAAACGAGATTGACTATGAAAGGCACCGAAAGGTCACACGTTTCCTGCTTTCCTTCTCCCCGAGTGGCAGCTCTCCTACTGCAGGAATGTCGGAGAGTATCGGAAAGGACAGGAAGCAAGTGCACCTGCATATTGAGATGATTATGGGCATATTTACTTTATTATTAGCTGTTAATGAGTCTGATTAAAATCAAGACAAGACAAAGATGACGTTTAAGCGAATCACAATGCGTTGCTCCGCCTCACAGCAACATACGACTTCCGTTGTGCATGTTTGATGTCACTACTTAAGAAAGGCCGCTCCCCCTCAGCGACAAGTCAGCATTTATGCAGACGGCGAATGCAGACATGAGTCGGGCGCTTGTATGTGCGCTGACTGCTGCTTGGAGCCTGGGTAAGGTCAAGATGTAAAGTCACTGCCGCTTTCCACTGAGGTCTGATCGCTTTTGTTGCCTTTTTGTGACAGGAATCAGCGGCCAGACGGTGCACCAGCCAGAACGGGAAGTCCACGCCTTCGAGGGTGGAGCAGTGACGCTCGGCTGCAGCTCCGACAGTTCGATGTCCAGGGACTTCATCTTCTGGTACAAACAAGAAGTGAACTCACTGCCGGACTTCATCCTGAGCAAAGATCTGTTCCGTTCCGGCAAGAAGGGAGTAAAGTACAGTGAAAGGTTTCACTGCAGCATGAATGCCAGCGCTCGGCAAGCTCCTCTGCATATCGAACGCGTGAAGCCCAGCGACTCGGGAGTCTTCTACTGCGCCCTGCAGCCCACGCTGACACATTCACTGGCGTGCCTGCACAAAAACACCTGCACCCGCCTCATCTCATGAGTGACATTGGGGGCGTGGCCTCACCGGAGTCCAAGACGTCTAACTGTGGCAGAGCTGCAACTCAGCGTGTCAACAGACTCATTCCGTGCTCGAGGATGACATTGTCTTGTCTCGTTTTTTAATCTGCTATGTGGTGGGCCTCATACTGTGTGTGCTCTTGAATTTATTTAATCTGATACTACATGTTGATTTCGGTTCCTCATTTCTCTTCAGTTATGTTGACAGTGCAGCTCAGACTTCAATAAGGAGGCCAGCGACAACTGACGCTGCTCACCAGTTTGGGGCAAACATCTTGGCAAATGTCGCAGGCTACGCTAGAATAAAATGGTGAAAGTAGCAAAACTACAGTGAAATATTACACATACACTGTCCACATGAATCCTTTAGGCCACTGTCACGGACTGAGTATGACTGACCTACATTCAATGTTCTGGTAACCCCTGTTGCGATCACGTGACTCAGAGCCCATCAAATTTACTGGAAGAAATTTGCAGGGAGAGACGTTTCAAAGTTTAATAAGGTCACTCGGGCAACACGGTGGATGACGTGTTTGCACGATGGCCTCACAGTGCAGAGGTACAGAGTTCGATTCCGACACCGGCCATTTTGTAAATACAGTGGTACCTCTACTTACGAAATTAA